GCTCTCAGGAGACCCCCAGGCTTCCCAGCTCTCAGGAGACCCCAGGCTTCCCAGCTCTCAGGAGACCCCCAGACCCGGCGCTGACTTCCCCTGCCCACACAGGACCTCTGCACCTGCTGCTCCCTCTGCCTAGACGCGATTCCCCATGGAACCCCACTTCCTCCCATCTCACAAAAATGCCCCCTTAGCCAATCACCTAGCCCCGCCTGCCTTAATAAGAAACACTCTCCATTGCCACCCCCCTCTCTGCTTTCTTCTCTGAAACATATCTTCACTTTCACGTCAGCTTCTTCCCAGGCCAGGCCTGGAACCATAAGCAACCCCCAGGCCGGTGCATTTGGCACCTTCTTCCAGGGAGCCCTCCCCACCGTCCTCCACCTGGCCAGGTGAGTTGGGCATGATCGGGCATAAGCACCTGGTTTTACGCTTGTGGAGTCTTTTCACTCTCCCTACTGTGAACTTCTGTGAGTCTATGCTATTCTAAGACCAGGCAGCCATCTCCCTACCTGAGGGTGCGGCCCGAGCGATGGAGTTGGGTGTGCTGGGACAGCGGCAGTGGCAGCCCATCCTTGAGCCAGCTCACATGGATGGGTGAGGAGCCCCGGGTCGGGCACGCCATGGTCACCAGTTGCCCGGGCCTGCTTACCAGCATGCCCGTGTCACCTGCCTCCTGCTCGATGGTGGGAGGGACTGGGGGAAGGAGAAACCAAAAGAGAAGTAACAGAAGAAGGATCCTCCCACAGCACTGAGAGGTGGTACCCAGCCCTGCTCAGGGCCTTCTGTCACCTAAGGCACAGGCCAGCTGTTTGTGAGTGCCCTGCTCCTTCCCCTCCCTTGTACCCTGACTCCTACAGCACCCTGGTCAGGCAGCACTTAGAGTCCAACCTAGGCTGGAGCCCCAGCGATGCCCCATGTGGGCATGGCTGGATTGGAACCCAGGTCTGCGCCCTGCTCTGGCTCACTCAGCACCCCCCGGTAGCCAGAGACCCCGCATTGATCAAGCTACTGTGGCCCCTGCCCGTGGCCCCTGCCACTTCTCACCCAGCACAGTGACCGTGTGTAGCCTGGCATCCTCCCCAGCTGGATTGCGGGCCATGCAAGTGTAGGCTCCAGAGTCCGAGGCCTGCAGGCCCTTGAGCACCAAGGAGCTGCCGTCCTGGTAGAACCTGCATGGGAGGTGTTGTGGAGGGCCAGGTACGCGGCAGTTCAGCAGCCTGTTCCTGGGTTGGGCTCGGCCAGTCTTACCGGAGGTGGGGGCCCACAGCCTGCTGCAGCGGGGTGCCATCCTTTAGCCAGACCACGTCGGGTGGCGGCTGCCCCTGGGCCTCGCAGTCCAGCCGCGCCTCCTGGCCCTGCAGCACGCTGTGCTCCCGCGGGGCATCCGAGCTCTGGATCCGGGGAGCCTCTGAGGCAGTGGGGTGGTGAGGTGGTGTGGGTAACCGAGGGGGTGCAACTAAAGGAAGGGTCGGGGTGCAGACCTACCCAGCACAGCCACCACAAATTCCTTGCGGGCCTCGGCCTGGGCGTTCTCGGCCACACACGTGTAGGTGCCAGCCTGGGAGGGCTGCAGGCGGCTCAGCTGCAGGCGGCCGCCCCGGGAGACCACGCCTTGCACCACGCTGCTCTCTGGAGGACAGGGTGGGTAGGGGGTCTAAATTCCTCACCTCACCTGCTTCTGGTACTCAGGGAAGCCTCGAAGCTGAGGCTCAGGGGGCGGGGCCTCCTTCTTGCACATCACCTTCCTCAGCCCCATCCCTGATTGCTCTGCTCCTTACAGTGCTCCTGGATTTCCTTCCACTGGGAGCACTTCTTTCCAAGCGACCCGTGCCCTGGAGGATCCAGGACCCTCTCCCAGGCCCCACCCTCCCCTCCCATCTCCTCCTCCCAGGGCTATCAAGGCCCTGGTCAAGATGAACTAGCCTCACACCTCACCGCTGCCCATGTGCCTCCCCTTCCTTCCCTCCAGCTGTCTCCACCTGCACACTTGGCTGCCCCCCACCCAGCCCTGCACCCCACTGTCCCCGGGCCTTCCTTCCTTTCTTTTTTTCTTTCTTTCTTTTTTTTTTTTGTTTTTGTGGGTTTTTTTTTTTTGGTTTTTTATTTTGGCGGAACCAGGGATTGAACTCAGATCCTTGAGTTTGCCAGTCAAGGGCTTATCCTACTGAGCCATCTCCCCAGCCCCAAAATACTGGGTTTTTTTCTTTCTTTCTTGTTT